AAGTCCTTCCTGACAATAGTAGCCGCCTTTGAAAGTATAACAGCATCATCATCGAAACCATTTACTTTTGTTAATAGTTTTCCTAAGTCAGCATTAAAAACTAAGTGTATTTCTCGACCTTGTTTATGAGCTTCAAGGTCAGGAATGTTAGCCAATATTCTATTCTTTAAATGAGTCACATTTAAAGGGGTATCAGTGAACACACCCATCTGCTGTAATCTATTGGAATAGAGCCTTGCTAGATCTGATAACTTGAATATTTTGACGTCCTCGGATTCACTGTGGCAGTCCTGGATATATGATATTAGTTCTGCAAGGACAATTCCATGCATCTGTGAATTACTTGTGTTAGTTTCAGCATTGTAATATTGACTTCTTGCATTGTGAAAAAGTTCTCTGTAACATTTCAAATGGTACATAGCTTCTTGGGAAACGAGGTCACCTGAGCTTAATTTTGCTAAAAGACCAGTGTCCAGAGTATCATAAGCATATTTGCGAACTGTTTTATCCATTTCAAATGTAGTTACTTGGTGTAGCTTGTCTGTACTTGTATTACAAAAAAAACATGTTCCCTTCTGATATCTTCCTGCATCCCCAGAACTTTTACGTGTTATTTTTGCGGGGGTGCACATTTCAGATTCTAATGAACTTTTAATGGCCGTTCTTTTTTGTTCGACTCTCTGCCATTTCAATTTACTATATTTGTTTCTGCATAACTTGTGCCATTTTGCTTTGTGATTGGCTAATGTCTCAGCTATACCCTGTCCTTCATCTAACAAATCAGTCTCAATTAGAATAGGATTGTAATTTAATTCAGAACATTTTTGAAGGTCATTAGCTAATGAAATATACCCTATTTCATTTGTATTATTATTTCGTATGGTACTTGGACATTGAAGATTTTCATCATTATCTTTTTGACACAAAATACACTTTGACCAGTTCATTGATTTCTTATCATTGTTAGTTTTCTTGTTAGACATGGTTAGTATAAGTCAGTGTTGCATTTCTTTAACCTGTACTTTTAAAGACTGTTAGTATATTATCTTGTTATTTACATCTGAAATTGTGAAAAGAAATGTCAGATTACCCTTTGCAAAACAACAAATTTAATAACATTTTTTCAGAGACTTATTACTGTATATCATTTCTTCTCCAAACACAAAGTCGTGAAAACTAATGACAAAAATATTAATAGTTCAAAGTATGGATAAGTGCAAGACATCTTATTTATTTAATTTTGCAGAAGTAAAAGACAATATTCTAAGGTAAATTTCTGTTTAAAAATGGATATCACATACCTTTGTTGCACTTCAATTCAGCTTGAAAATGATTTAGAATATTTCGTCTGCTTCATGTCGATTTAAATGAAAGGGGACAACTCTTCATAATTTAACAAAAGTATATTGCTCCATTTATACACTTTTGTGTATGAGTAATGAAACAACTATTTTTTTGTCTTTGAATAGGTAATGGATATTGCTTTTAGTATGTTGTCAAATATATTGGTAAAAAAGTAATATGTAGAAAAATGGCGGCCATCTTGGATTTTTCGGCCATTTTGGATTTTCAGGATTGGATCCTATGCTTAATTCATACAATTCTGGGCATAAGCATTGGAAACGACTATTTTTGTCTTTAAATATTTAATACATATTGCTTTATGCTGTCAATATTGGTAAAAATAAACAGTATATATTCAAAAATGGCGGCCATCTTGGATTTTTCCACCATTTTGGATTTTTAGAATCGGTTATTTGCTTCATTCATACAATTGTGTGCATAAGCATCGAAAATAACTATTTTTTGTCTTTAGATATTTAATGTTTATAGCTGTATGTTGTCAATATTGGTAAAAATAAACAATATATACATAAATGGCGGCCATATTGGATTTTTCCGCCATTTTGGATTTTCAGGATTGGGTCCCATGCTCATTTTATTTGTTTTTGCTTGAAGTTCATTTGTGCCAAGTTTCATGCTTTTCCCATTTTCTGAAGTTTTTTTTCACAATTTGACTGGACTATAAAGCATGTTTAAAATATCATTAAAGCAAGCGTGTAGTACTTATGCTATCACAAGAATTATTATTTCAAACTTTTTTTTTTGTTTGTGTCATACTCTATAAATCTTTCTGATCATACAGGTCTGTAGAAAATCGTAAACATTTGTAAATTTACGATCTTATGTGTTGAAAAGTAACAATTATAAAAAATTATTAAAGGGGAAACGTTGGACTCTAGAAATTATTTTTGTATAAAAACAACTTATTGTTTGGATCGGCACTGTATTGGGTTTCAGGTAGATTGCATTAACAGCTGCTAACCGCATTTCTCATTAGAGCACTAGGTTAATTAGATGAGAGAACACGCTGTTCGTTCATTTTATCATGATATTTCCTATTTTTAAACTATTTTATTTTTTCAGAACAAGGGAAATCCTTCCTGAGCAATCAAAAGAAATTCTAATAGTTCAAAATTAAAAGAAAAACAAAACATATGAAGTAGGAGAAATGTCAATAGGCGCATTATTTTTGTAGGATGCCCTACTCTGGGTTCTATGTCTGTGGCCATATGTCGCTGGATTTTGTTAAGCGTGTGTTCAGTGAACGCTGCCTTTCTTTGTTGATTTTTGTCATTCTTTGGTCTTGTATATTTCATTGTTTATATTACAATGTATTCATAAACACATCGCATCGTCATAACACCAGTTTTGCAATTTTTTTTGTCTTACCAAAAGCTTAAACAATGTTGATGAAAATCTTAAGCTGCGTCATGGTTGTCGTAATTAGTAGCTTATATCCCCCGTTCTTATCAATCTTTTTTATCTCCTACGTAAGAGTTATAAAGTTCTACGTACGATCACAGAGAATGTTTAATGAAAAGTAACTAATACACCTCGATTACTCATCTTAAACTCAAATAAATCCTATTTTAAGATTTAAATGTAAACAACAGTGCAAAGAATTAGTTGTTGGCATGTAAAGATTGTGAGATGGGGAAGATCCTTCGAGAACAATTACAAAGAACAATACAGGTAGATAAAAAATTATCAATGTTTTTTAAATGAGCATGTTCTTGAAAGATGATGGGAAATGCCACATCTCTCGCGTTTCTTAGCACTGGCTTATATTTATGTTTCCGATGACCCAACAAATATAACGACACTGCGATGAAGTATGGGAAAATTTTTTCACAGCTGAGGAACATAGTGTTGTGGTTATGGACACTCTGGAAAGAGGGCTTTCTCGATGGCGATTAGAACAAAACAGGTAGTTGAAATTTGCAGACACACATTATGAGGGAAATAAATTGCCTTACTGAAATTGTATTGTTTGAAATAAGAATTTGTGTACAATTGATAGGATTTGAACATAACGGGATACAATTAATTGTGACATCAATATTGACTGCTTAGATTTTGGTTTGGTGCCTTCTTGGTGTCTTGCTGTGGTAGCCGATTTGTGTCAAAGGCTGCATCTTGTAAACATTGCCTTTGTCTTGATGATCTTTTTTCTCATTTTTTGTTGTTGCCCTACTTCAGTCGAGAATGAATGTCTATTACATTCCTTGAAAACAATGTCTATAGGGAGGTAAAAATATGACTGTTGTAAATGTATGAAATAATTTTCTGAAAAAAAAACAACAAAGAGATATTCTTTAACGAACATTATGAGGTTTAAATAAATAGTTTTAACTCTATTTCAAAGTTGTTTCCAAAGAGTTACTCTAACATAGGAAACAAAACAATAGAATGTTATCTCATCTGTCAAAACAGCAAGACAATACTAGAAATCAGAATAATAGAAAACTTGTATAAGAATCAGACATATTCTTTTCCGCACCGATGTTATCTTGTTTGTTTGTTTGTTTGTTTAATTTAACGCCTTTTTCCAACAGTATTTCAGTCATATAGGCGAGTAGTTTCCTGACCATCGTTCCTGGAGAGTTACACCAGTACTAGACTACCTTCCTCCGCGCTAAACTACCAAAGCATCTCCCGGGGATCGAACCCACGCCAGAGAGGTACCTGAATAAGAAGTCATCGACTCTAACCCCTCGACCACGGAGGCGGTCCGATGTTATCTAAGTAATTTTGTTTTCATCTGACACGTCTCTCGTGATGACCTGACCACTTTTTCAACAGCTGTTTCACGAAGACAAGATCAGCAAGGAAGGGCGGCATTCAATGAATTCATCTCCAAACATATGACCGCCGGCAAGGAGCCCGGCAGGACACAAAATCAGATCAGGGCACAGAACCGAGAAAAATTGTCATAGATTCAGTTTTTACGAAAATGTTTATGTTTTATAAATCATTCTATGAGTAGAATAGTGATAATTACAGTTTGCTCGTGTTAATTCAAATTAAACCTCTCGAATACAATTTCTATTTGTAAGAAAGTGCTATTCAATAGTGGATTTAGACTATGTTAGGTGCTTATTACGCTTTTTTTTACTGAAAGTGAATGATTTGTCATTAACAGAAAAATATTATTAAAGCAGTAATTTAAAGCCTAACCTTAAAATGTTTGTGTGTTTTCTGTCTGTTGTTTTTTTTGTTGTTGTTGTTTTTTTCTAATGAAAGCTTCTGACGCTCTCCATTACTTTGAACATCATAGTTAGAAAGCCTAAAAGTTCATGTTTGCAAGGATTAAAAAAACAAGTTATAGTTATAGGTTGGTTAACGTTGAATCGTACAAAACAGGACTATATCTTGACGAGTACACAGCTAAAATATCATATTGGGCGTGTCACCAGGCGAGTTTAATATGACCCTTCAGCTGTATGTGAGTCAAAATATGTCCTATATTATACAGTTCAATGTTAAATTACCTGTCTTGTCTAACAAATATTTTATTCTGATACATAATGCCATGCAGATACTCTTTACAGACTTTTGTAGCTTTATCTCAGATATCACATGGAAGGGATCAAGTGCACCATCCAATATGAATAAATATATTGGATACTGTCATCTAGAATGGGAATATATTGGACAAACACTTCGTACAATTAATTTACGATTGGATGTAAGAAATAAGTATAGAATTTTTTTCACAAACAAATAAATTAAATAGAATTTTGTTAAGTGTTCCGAGAGATTTCTTCATTAATCCAGTCTAAATATTTCCTGACTTTTGTATAAATGCCGAACTTTTTCTTTTCACCACAACCTTCTCCATAGCTTGTGACACCATAAACCATCCACCGTGTAACACCGTCAGAACCTTTCTTTGGACATAGTAAAGGTCCTCCACTGTCCCCTGCACAAGAGTCGACACCCCCGTTTTTACTTCCTGCACAAACTTGCGTATCGTGGATTGGATAGTTAAAGGCTCGTTGACATGTCCTTCTGTTAACTAGTGGTACCCGTGCTTCCCGTAAAACTGTTGAACCAAAAACGTCAGTATTTTTCTCCTTCCCCCACCCAATGATATAACACATATGTTTCTCAGGTAGCTTATCCGTCTCTTCCGGGAGACATGCATACCCGATAGTTTTAGAAGCCGGAACTGGCTTTTCTAACTTTAATAGAGCTATATCATTTGTTATAGTGTCGTAATCATACTTTGGATGTGGAATATCCTTTTGTAACTTCATAAACATCTCACCGTCGTCTTTAGCGTAAATATCATGCTCCCCTACTTTCACTTTTATTCTCCGTCGCCTTTTATTTTTTCTTATGCAATGAGCAGCTGTAACTACCCACTGTGGCGCTATTAAAGTCCCTCCACAAAACTGCTCGCTTGCTTTTAGTATTGCCACCTGCAAATAGTATCAACATTATTAATTTCAAATTCGATATATTGTATCATGAAATATTTTGTAAAGATAAAACAACTGTTCTCTCTCATAACAGAACGATAAAACTGTTTAATGAAATCTCAACAATGAGCAATTGATATCTATTACAAGCATTAGAGAACAATGTCCGTGACCGTTATCAATCATATTAATTAAACCATAGCAAATGTGCAATTGAGATCCCATGAAAGTATCAGGCAATGGTTTCCGTGAATGTTATCTATATGCGGAACCACTACACATTAAACATTTATTACTGAATATATCAATTTTTGGAGATATTTTCTCAGTCTGCTGAATTTGTGTAGCGGATTTACCCTGCTTTTAATTAAAAAAAATTATACACAGCTTAAGGAAATTCAATATAAACACTTCTTTCCTGACACTATTACAAATGTATCTTCTGAAGGACATTCAATTAATGATTGTTCATTCATGCCAATTGATAAAATGAAGAATAACTGGAAAAGATTATTAATATTAAAAGAAACTTGACGACATGACATTGACGTAATTTTAAACAAGAATTTTTACTCGAAACGGTTTTTTAATGCAATGTCAAGTTCAAGAAGAATAAGCTACCAACAGCCAACGGCTGACCTGACTTTATACTGGTGGCAACTTCTAATCATTTTCGGTTCTTGCAGGGTAAATGTTAATTGACATCAATAAGTCATAACTTGTTATACCTGCCACGGCCACTCATGTTTGCCAACAACTTCGCCGCCAACAACACGATATGATCTCGATGTTACTTTGGGTTGTAAGCCACATGACATCGTTAAATTTTTTAAAATTGGTGAATTGGATTTCATTTTCCCATCACTACCTGCGGTGAAAAGAAAAATATTTAGAAAAATAATTTTCACAGTAAGACAAAAACATCAAGAACATGTACACTTATACATAATCACCAATAAAAAGTTATTTTTTAAATGGTAAGCATTAATGTCGTGAAAATTTTGTGAAATGAAACAAGCCACAACAAAAAAATCAACACAAAGAAAAAAGTTCGCTTTATATACAATTGCAATTAACAATATTAAACAAGGAAAATACGTGAATAACGTGATTTTTCTATAATAGTGTATGGTTTAAACGTCATTACGAAATACGTTTATGGCAACACTAAAACTTTTACATGCATAGACTATGCACTTAAACTTCTTACTCGAATAAACAAAGCTTCATAATTCATGCTAATTTAACATACAATAGTTAAATGTAAGAGTGCAAAAACGTCAAATTTATTACAAAATTTTACAATGTACGAAAAAAGATGTCACCCGTGCTTGTCTTGTTTTAAGATAATCAGACGACAACAATAACAACATCGGATTATATTTTCGGGGTTGTGTTTTCCCCTATTTAAATAAATTGACACAAAAATACATTTTAAAATCTAAAAAAAAATGTGCATCGTTTAACAATGTTCAAGATTTGTTATTTTTTATAAAACAATGACATGGTGAGGTTTAATTTATATTTATATATTTGTAAAGTTACCAATATAATCAGCTTGTAGTAATACTATTTTTGTCATATTTCTTCAAATTCTTAACGAAGTTTTAAACATATTTCAATTAGTACGAAGGATCCGAAATAAAATGTGTGTACAAGAAGTGCAATTTATTACTGATTATGTATAAGCAAGGTTTTTTTCTCTTAAAGCTGTCATATTTAGATAACAGTAAATGCGGTTTTTTCGTTATCTTCGTCATTACAGTTATAAAAAAAAACAGTACATGTATTTGATTTTTTTGACGATATTTACGATGTTTGTTAAAAAGAAAAACATAATAAACGATAAAATAATGACATTATTATGCGATAGGTATGTTCAGTTTTTTATTGTAATATTTTTTTTCCTAATTTCAACTGAAAAATAAAAGAAAACGTAACAACGTATCGTATAAGATTACAAGTATTTTCTGCGCGTTAAATGGTTGTGAAGTAGCTACAATAAATGACAAACATTACACTAGTTAACGATCACTCTTAACGTTTGTGTGAACGTGCACCGTCAACGCAGTGATATAACACTTATGCTAGAACAATTGATGTTGATTTTTTTGTTTAGAAATTAAATGACACAAATTCTCTGTCTTAATGTGTCATTTGTGACATGACATTCCGCAATCCTCAATTTAAAGGCACATTATGCCTTAGTAATGCAATATTTTTTTATTTCTCAAAAACGTTCTATCTTTGGTATATTATCATGGTTTCAAAAAGAACCTACATACATAAACTATCTTTGGCTTATTTTGCTATGTTGGCGATTGGTAAATTATAGTGAATTAGTATTTTGTATGAAAGTCAAAAATCTTATTTGTTTCCATTTTGCTACCTTTACAACATATCACTGAATGTTCAGTGCTACTTTTTCAGTTGTTGAATATCTAACATGCTCTTAATTCATCATTAAAACATTATCAAACACATTGCCAATGAATCAAAAATATAAGGATAATGATTCCTTAGGCATAGTGTGCCTATAATTCTAGCTTAAGTTCAAAGCTCGCTACTTATAGCTAGTTGTCGTCATGCAAAATGGCTTTTGGCAATATAAGAAAATCCTTTACTGGTTAAGATTTTACTTGACACGCTTGAAACATAAATCTCGTCTGTGGATAGATTCCCAGCCCCAGAGAAATCTTTTCTTTGAATAGCTATTTATTATATATTATGTTTATTTATATTTTTATTCCTTTTAAGATGCAGGACTGAAATAGATCTTAATACTTTATATACTTTTTATACTCCATTTACATTATGGTAACTAAAATAAAACGTCGTCACGTCCCTATGACAGTTACATTTATTATTTAAGCTTTAATCAAGATATAAAAGTCTACTTGAGTCAGTAACAATTTCATTTTGTCAAATAATTTCAAGAAAAATGAACGAAGCAAATGTATTTTCTGCGCATCATTTATTCTCGAGTACGGAAGTACACGTGAACGCTGGCGTTACTGCAAAAACATTCCTGCGTCATTCACCGTTTATGCATCTTTAGTTGTATGAATTTGTATTCAAGAGTAATTTATGCTGACAACAGCATCTAGTCGTGTCAAACTCAATATGACGTCAGCTATGTTAGGATTTTGACACCCGGGCAGAGGTATGTTCCGCGGAATTCGGTGAAAAAGAGCGTTATACCAACTGTTGCTTTAATTTTTGCGTTATCTGTGTCACAAACTTTGTTTACGTTAAATCAGCATTAAATGACGTAATTTTGCCAGATTCGTATCAATATTATACTCTCTTATTATATATCATAATGTATACAGAATTTACAATAAATAAAATAAATTATTACTAATGTTGTTGTTGTTGTTATTTGGTTTAGCCCACCAGTTCAGAAGTTTGCAGAAATAACCCGATTAGTTTAGTTACATGACTAGTGTGCCTTGATTCAGAACAAATCTTACTCATCGCAACTTCTTCACATTTAGAAACAAATGACAAATAGGCTTAGATATATTGTGGTTGATAAGTCATCAAAGAAGAAAACATTAGCCAACGACACAAACTCATGTTTGACAATGAATCTAAAGTCATCTCTGGAATTCTGTATTATTTAGAAAGTTATACTATATGTTTTCGTTCTTTGTTTGCCATGTCACAGAAAGTTTCAAGAATATTACTGACATCGTTTAGAATTCAACAAATAGATGGTTATAATTCTTGATGATAATGTTGGGTGGAGACTTGATTATGTTTTACATTTAGAAAACCAACCTCTTACACGGAATTACATATCTAGCGTTCTATATAAATTGTGGAACTGGGCCATATTCTTTCTCAGAAAATAAATCAAAACAATACATCTAAATTCTCCTGAATATACACAACGGAATTCACAAAATCAGACAGGAAACAGCGGGTCCGTAATCTGTTTGTTTTAACCTGGTATTTTCATTACATTGTGGTAAACATATGTAAATGCAGTTTATCAGTAAATGATGCTAAAGTACGTCAAGAAAATTGCTTTTGATGAAAGAGCTGTCTTTAATATTGGAAGCATTTAAACAGCAGTCGTAAAGAATACTTTAACTTGTAGACGTGCGTTTCTCATTGATAAAATTCCACGTGCAATTAGGTTAAACCAGTGATTTATAACCGTTCTCTTTTCAGAGAAATTTATTTTATTTTACTGAAGACTCGCAATGATGTCATTCGTATGGTATTATTCATGGAAAATATATAAAATTTGTTGATTGTTAATTTAAAAACACAAGTAATTTACAATTTGCAAGTAATCCCCAAAGATATTCAATTATTTTGATCGCTAACATACTGCATTTATAACATACCATTCCACAAAAGAAATGAGTAAAGGAAAGACATCAAATGATAGAAAACGCTTTACTGATTAAGATATATAGTTTTAAGAAAGAATCAGCTACTGATTAACTCACCTTTTGGTCCCAGTTTGTCACTGGTCGAATTTGAAATGAATGTTTTAGTTATGTTTTGGATTTTCTTCACTGCATCATCAGGATCATCGTCGTCATCATCTGGAACAAACGTTCTTAAAATATACTGTTTTCTGCATACTAAACTTGATCTTTTACATTGTCTTTCCTCTTGAATAAAACTTGCACCACACATGGCAGGTTGAATGCACTTCCGGTAGCGTTGTTTTTTACAACTTCGTGAACAGACCGTCCATGGTGTCCATGCGCTATATAAAATTTTATATAAAATTTGTTTCACTAATTTATCACTTTTTCTAAGACCTAATAATTTAACATATTTTCTTTTTGATCGTTTTGAACATGTGCCTTTCGATTTGCATTTTCTTTTTTCTTTGATATAACTCCTCCCACATTGGGCTTCCTTTTTGCAACGTCGTTTTCTAGATTGTTGACATCCCTTTGAACACGTGCCCCAAGATGACCACTCTGTATACACCTTTGATAAAATTGTGTGTGGCACGACATCTTTCCGCAAACTTTCTTTAGATGCATTACCCGAGGTAAAATTTGAATTTCTTGAAATGTCAACAGGCTTTGAATCCTACAAAATAAAGAGCAGATGCATAATTACTTAATTATTAAAATTGAAATTATACGTTTCTGTTTCAAAATTTTCTACCTCTTGTCATCCTATCAAATCAATACAAAATATCGATGAGTTCGATAACTGAGAATATGTATTGTTTATACAGCTGATATGTCTTGTTCCTGTTACATATAAATAATAAATTATATAATTGTTTGTTTGTTTTTCTGAGTTTAACGTTGGTGTTGATCATATGTCGGTTGTCCACCTAACCGACTTCGCTTGATAACTAAAAAGTCTATACCAATCTCTCCGCAAGTGATGGAAAACTTATCCCATGTGATTTCTAAATCAACGGTATGAGACCAATGATCATTTTAAATGATCATTTGTCAAGGAGAAATATGTCCTATAATTTTATACCTTTTTAATAACTGCAATGTCTTCTTTACATTATGTGAATCATTTGGCTTATATTTATACTTAACTGGTATTCGTAAATAGTTTACTGGAAATTCATCTTCAAACTGTACTTCAAATTGTACTGTTAGATATTTCAATAGATTCGTAGTATTTTAAGACACAATGATTGTTTGATATAGCGATTAAACATGTTATAAATATTTTATCATTTTTCTTGTTTTACAACGGAAGAAAATAAGCTTAAAATACTTCCTATAGGTTATTACGAAGTGTGGTAAGCATTCCAAATATTTCACGGACTGTTTCCAGAAAATGCGATGGCGCCTGTAGCTAGTAAAATTCGAATTAGTCTAAATACTCCCGATAGTAACCTTGAAATAATTTCTTGAACACTGATTATTTTCTACCGGAAAAATGCCATGTTGCTTGTGTTATTATAGTATAACTATTTGTGTTCGTTTGTACATTCTTTGTGATGTTAGATTAATGATATTGTTTGGCAATATTAACCCGGGACATTTAAATATTCAAGGACCTTTTGACGGTAATTTTCGGATTCCGAAGTAAATTTACGGACTTAAGATATACATGGTTTATGTACGGCTAAACATTACTAATATAATACATGCCTTACTAACCTTAGTGACAAGGAGTTAAGGTTTTCACTTACAAATTGAAGGTTGTACGTTCGAAGCTCTATGAAACATTATTTTTTTTATCTTTTTATAGTTTGTAGTTATGAAATTTAAACAAATTATTATTATATTCAATTACAAATGATTTATCCACTAATGTTGCATACAATTTAAAAAAATCCATAGTGACAGTGATGATGATGATGATAATGACAACGACGATACTGATAATGATGATGATGATGATGATAACGGATAATAAATGCATATTTCATCATCTATATAACAGGATAAGGGGGTCAATAAACTAGTCAAGACGCCCAAAACGGCAAATTTAAAAAAGAAATCCAGGCTCGATTTGATTTAGTATGTTCATGGCCGGAAGTGGTAACAGCAAGCTACCGTCCATGCACCGTAGCGCCGGCTGAAGCATGAATGATAATCCAAAAAATATGTATGAGAATAACGAAATATTGAACTTAGAAACATCTGCAGAAGTCAAACGTGATAGAGTATTACTCTAAGATATTTCGCTATGAAGATAAACAAACGTGTTAAAACGTTTGCGTATCTTTAAATCATTCCATAATATACTGGGGATTTATTTATTATTTTTAAATTAAGAAACACACCTTACTCTGTATGTATGTAGTTTTTTTATGTAATAAAGATATCGCCTGGAATTAAGTTAACTAAGTCGGATATAAAGTTAATCAGAACGGCCTCAATTCTATTACAAGAAGAAAACACGCTACAATAATTTGATTGTTTTATCTATAATCAAATTTGTCTGGGATTTATACTGAAAGAAAACCAGTAATAAATTCATTTTCCGATGATATATTTCTAGATTAGTAACATAATCTCATGAATTACGCAACGAGAATCTTTACGTAAAAATGAACTTACATATGTAATACATTTAACATTTCTTTCCGATTTTTTCGTTTTCTTTCCGACGTCTTTCATAACTTTCCTCAGCGCTCTTGTTGAATTCTCTTATGTTATCAAAATGTATGCTAAATTTGCTGTTTATAGTGGAGCCAGGGCAACGAAATTTTGTTGGACGGTGTAACGGATATATAAAGTAAGATCTTTACCTAATGTTAAAAGAACTGGTTGACCAACTGATGTACTTATTATTTGTTTATTGATTAACATGTTATTTAAGCACACAAAAAAAATAAGTTCCAACAAAGCGATTCAGTAATTATGTCCAAAAGCGATAACTTGTTTTTAACATACATTGTGAAAATCAGCATTTCTTAGGACCTCAGTATTTTAAAGTCTTATTCTAAAGCTTTGTTAGTAAACGTTGGAGTCGCGAGACTATCGAACTCGTGACCCCTTAACTTGTAGTCAATAAAGCCACTGAAGCACTGCAACCGCTCTAAGACTGGAGCTCAGCAACCGCCCTAAGACAGAAGAATTGCCACCGCTCCAAGACTAATATGCACGCTCTCTAATTTTAAGTCTACCGGGTCGGCTAGAAGGCTAAGCATATCAATAAATATGTGTGGAGAAAGTGGAGAAACAAAAAAAGTAAGTGAAAATAGCAATACATGTATTTATTCTGAAAAGATTATTATCTTGCACTTTCAGTCAATATTTTTCTATGTTGACTGACTATATGTTAATTGGCTATATTTAAAGCAACACAATCTCCAATTGAACAGCATGACATGCTTGCACTTAGCTATAATTGTAATAATAAACTATTTTAGATTAACTATCAACGAGGAAAGGAAATGCAATGTGTGGTCCACTTAAAACCAATTCTCAAATGTCTTGTAACAGAAATTCTTGTTTTATTCCTCTCGGTCTGTCTCACTAGCTTTTTTTTCTCTAACACCTGCTGGTTCTAATCATTTGTCAATAAGTTAGTATAGTTCATTCATTGGAAATGGGTTATGGTTTCCTACTGCCAGAAAATCAGAACGTATTATTTGTACAGAAAGCAAAATGCATAAATTTGTTGCACGTTTTCCACGTTAAGCAAGCAGATACTGAGATGTACACTTGAAACATGCAGTATATACGGTGTTTTGATTATAATATAGAATAGATTTTTCGGTCGAAAGCCGTCTAAAATTAGTTTGACTTCCTGTACAATTTACAGGGAAGAACTGAATAACGGTAGAATTTTCATTTGTCATTTTAAAGTTACATACTGAAATTTAGGTTTCTCATTGATGATTCTTATATAAGTAAAATAATATAAAGGATCTTTCTTAAATGATATTCGTCAAGTTGAAAACTTGAATTCATGAAGTTTAAATCGTATATTTTTGAATTCCGTATGTTGGAAACGTAAATTTACGAAGTTGAAAACGAGAATTCGCGAAATGAATTCGTGAAGTTGAAAACGCGTATTTGTGACGTTGAAATCGTGAATGAATGAAGTTGAAATCGTGAATTCCGTATGTTTAAAACGTGAATTCAAGTTGAAAATGTGAATTCAACGAAGATGAAATTAAAATAATGAGTACAAATGCTTAAGCTTCTAATATTAAAATCCGACAGATTATCACGTGGCGACTTTCTAGCTTTGATGGTGGCAAAATCCAGGGGTCATTTAGAACATTACTTCCTATACTAGCGAGTACTGTCTAGGACCGCCATTCTACCATTAGCTAGCTGGATTCCTTCATCACGTGTGATACTTGACCGTGGCACCACTCGGGATTCATACAAACTGTGAAGAGGTGCAAATTACCGTGGATTACCGTATATATATTTTTGTTACAAATTGAAAAGTTTTAAACGGTAAAATCATCAATTGCAACATTTAAGAAATTTCGATCACATTGTTTAATTATGTATCTTTTCGAAAACTTTTCTTTATATAGATGTAAAATATTCGTTAACAATTTGTAAACATGTCAAATGATTATATTTCATTTTGGATAACATGCCGTTTATGAAACGTTCTCTTGTTACATGCCCACTAATGTCACGTCAATGCGACTTGGAATAATAACATGTTTGTCGTATGTAAATTATGTGAAATCTAATGAATTTGCGATTTGGTTTTAAACCTTCAAAAGAATTAGCAGTTTGATTGATTCAGTGAGTTCGTGACATCGGTATTCGAACAAACCTATTTCAATATAGGTCATTGAATTAATTGACCTTTAACACCAGGTCTGTAATTTAAAAGTAATAAAATGTTGTTAGTATGTATGTGTAGTGTACTTTACATTTGACTCAGATTATTGTGGTTAATTTGTGTCAAGAGACAAACGATTTGCAATTTAATGTTACCTTATGATAAGATAGAAAAATAACTTTAATAGAGGGTTAATGCACGTTTGTCGTTTACAAACAACTGAAGAAGCACGGTGGCGTATTTAAAAGCCGTGTACGTGCTTCTGCAGATGCACGAAAGAAAGTGAATGAGCGATTTTCTTGTATAAAAGTATACGTTATTTGATAGTTTATACTGCAGTTAGATATTTTTACATGGCGCTTTTAATCAAGTATATTTAAAAACGTGCAATAACGTCGCGTGCTCGCGTGACTTTATCCGTTAATGCGTGTATTCTTCTCTGTTACTAACACCCGCATGCGCAGTTTTATGCAAAAATAAACGTCATTCATCTAATTTGTAGATGCTTATAATGAATATTAATCTATATTTAGATTTTCTATAATTGTATATGTCTTTAAAATTTTAGAAAAGATGCCCGCCAAAATACAAGTCAAAAGATATCTTATATAACAGGTTTTATGAGATAATAATTTCTGTTATTATTGTTTTACCTATGAATAATGGTGTTTATCACATTCAACAATGCACTATATAATGTTGTTAGTGATGATTTTGCAAGAAGAATGTTGCGTCTCATAAATTTTACGACAATGGGAATAAGACGCGTGCTTTTTTACTACAGTGTGTATGGATTTATACAAATCTAGATCATTTAGTCTGATTCAGAATAATTAACCTACTTTGTC